CCCGCCACCTTAGGTGTATGTGGCTGGCGCCTTAGCCGCTTGAGCCACAGGCGCCGAGCCGCAGTTGCATTTTTGATTTACATTTTCATTTATTCATTTTTGTTTATTGTAGAGTTTTCTAGAACAGTCCAGGTGAAAATATCTAAATTAATTTTGATACAATAGTAGGAAGCAAAAGGATTTGAAAAAAATATATACATATATGCATATAAAACTTAGGAAGGAAGGTCAAGGAAAATAGTTTTGGAGAAACAAGCAATACTAGAAGCTATTCTCCTACTTCTATGTTTTAGGACAACATGGTCTTTAGAATTTGGCAAGTGTAGAAAATGGATGACATCACAGCTTTCTCCCCCTTGTATTAGTACACATAGCTACATCTCCAGGTTACATACAGCTGGCCCGTCTGACAGCACAGTCATGCTCCTGCTGTGTACCGTGAACTATGCAATGTGGACATCAGGTGAAGTATGAACAGGCTGGAGCAACAGTGCCTAGAAATTTCTTAGAAAATCAAATTTCAACCTCCCAACCTGCTGATCAGAAATATGGGAATCGACACCAATGATGTTTCAACAAAGCTTCCAGTTGAATCTGATATATATTCAATTTGAGAATCTTGTTCTAATGGTCTCTCGACCTCCACACTACTGGTATTTTGGGCCACATGCTTCTTGCTGTAGGATGTGCACTGTAGGATGTTAGCACCATCCCAGCATCCCTGGCTCTGCCCACTAGAGGGTAACAGTGTGTGCTCAGTTGTGACTCAAATATATCTTCAGACATTCTAAATGTTCCCTAGGAGGACAAACTGGCCCGGATGAAAACCACGATCTAAGGTAATGATCATAATTTCATTCCCCTCTTCAGCCAGAATAATTGGCTCATCGTGTATTTCTGACCTATTTGGCCTGATCCAACTGAAGCCTTGGATTTATGTTTGCTACTTGAGGATAGAGGAGTTCTCCCATTGTCTGGCTGGTGTCATGTGTGCAAAGCTCAAAATTGCTGTACAATTTTGTCCTACAGGAAAAACTGGTCCAGGAATGATGTTCACAAATAATGAAAAAATCAAATGATAACAGGGCCAAAGCCTGAATCAACTGTACTCGAGATGTGAACTGTCTTTGGGTATTTCAGCTACAAGACCTAATGAGTTTCTAATAAAATCCTGTCTTGCCACTGGAAAAAGAAAACTTAATAAGTTTCATTTTACTTTTAAACCAATTGAGATTGAATTTTTAGTTGCTTGAAAATCCTTATATTATTGTGATCTTTGATATCTCTTGAGGCAGGTTTTTCAAATTTTTCTTTTATCTTTTCTCTGTTTTCTTTCCTCTTTTTATTCTGTCTAGTCCCAAATTATGATGCCTCAATAGTGGTTTCTTGAACTTATGATTTTCCTCTTAGTGTCCTTAACTTGATAAACTTAATTTGCCCAAGACCTTTTCTATTGATAGGAGTCAGAGGGTTTAAGCAAGAATAGGGAAATGGGACCAGAAAAAAAATGGGTAGTCATTTCACAAGTCTGAAGGGTCCCCAGTGGGAGGTTTTGTGGCCACCACAGAGCGCCCACATCAGTGTGCAGCCTTCGGTCACTGTGCAATTTCATGGTAGGAAGATTCAGTCTGATTGAAGATCTTAGCAACCTCATTATACATTTTTTTTGCTTTCCATATTAAGCAAATCTCTCACCTTTCTACATAAAGAAAGCACTTTACAGCTTTTCTAAGGCATGTCCAAATTGCCACTGTCACTACTCTTCTGCTTTCATGCCACTATTAAGCAAAATAAGGGTTACTTGAACATAAGCACTGCAATACTGCAATAGTCCATCTCTTAACTAAGCCACCTACTAAGTGACTTTAAACTAAGACAAAGAATGACTCTTTTTCAGCTTTTTCTACATAATTTTATATGTGTAAAGATAGAGAAAACACTATGAAGAATCCTCGAAGAACTCAAAATAGACCTCCCATTTGATATTACAATCTCATTATTAGGCATCTAACCAGAAGAAAAAAACCATTTTATCATAAAGACATTCACACTAGATTTTTATTTATTGTGGGTCAATTTTTATTCTTTTTTTTCTTTTTTCTTTTTTTTTTTTTTTTTTTTGAGACAGAGCCTCAAGCTGTTCCCCTGGGTAGAGTACTATGGCATCACAGCTCACAGCAACCTCCAACTCCTGGGCTCAAGCAAGTCTCCTGCCTCCACCTCCCAAGTAGCTGGGACCACAGGCGCCTGCCACAACACCTGACTATTTTTTGGTTGCAGCTGTCATTGTTGTTTGGTAGGCCTGGGCTGGATTCGAACCTGCCACCTTAGGTGTATGTGGCTGGCACCTTAGCTGCTTGAGCCACAGGCACTGAGCTGTGGGTTAATTTTTAAACACCAATATGTGGAAATAATGTAAATGCCCATCACCTAAGGAATGGATTAACAAACTGTGGTGTATGTATAGCATGGAATACTATTCAGTCATTAAAAATTATGGAGATGTTATATCTTTTGTATTATCCTGTATGAAGTTGAAATACATTCTTCTTAGTAAAGTATCAGGAGGATAGAAAAGCAAAAATCTAATATACTCAATACAAATATGAAGCCAATAGATGATCTAATGCACACCACATGGGGAAAAACTCATTTCAATTCAATTTGGTGGGAGAGAGGACAGGGGAGGAGGGTTTGTGTGCTCCCACTTAATGGGAATTATGTAGGGGACTGTGGCACAGATTTTAGGTGCAGGACAAAACTACAAGAGGTACTATACCTAACAAATTCAAATATTATAACCAGGCTCTTTGTACCCTCACATTAACCTGAAATAAAAAATACATAAATAAATAAATAAAAACTAGCCAAATAAAACCCCACCATTTCAATGCTATTGAAAAGTATGTCCACTCATAATTGAAATAAATTTCAGATATTGTATTTCATCCACAAATGTTTCAACATGTATTTCTAAAATATAAACATTACCTTTATATATAACCATGATTACATTATGCTATCTATAAATCAAGATTCCTTAGTA